TGAGTCAGTCTATTCCTCACCCCGTCTCCGTCATTTATCAAAATAGATTAAACCGAGCCATACTAAGATTATACGATGTGTAGACACACGACTCATCTTAGATGCCGATGGGGATTAATCGTGCATACGACAAATCCCCCTTTCTGCTGAACATGAGTGATTATATACCCGAAGGTATGTTGATCGATCGTACATCTTTAACCATTTAGCTCATCCCCCTTGGGGGGGGGGGGGGTGAAGTTCAAGTGCCCATCTACCTAGATTGAGAGGATGGGCTTCGCAGTTGCTTTTGCAAGAGTCGAGTGTTTGAGATTTTGCGCTGATGGACATGAGACAATAATGCCAGCAGCAGCGAGATGCAGGGTAGAGAGGGCGTGAGTTGCGTGAGTCCTGTGTTCCTGTGTCTTTTTTTTTCTTTCCAAGTAAACCACTTATACCCCAAACTATCGTCGGTGCGCGTCATCATTAATGGCGGCGCGCGAGCTCACTTCACGGTTGGTCGAAGCGGTTGTTGTTTGTTTACGTTGAAAAAGGGCGGGCAAGAAGCTGAGAGGAGGAGAAGCTGACCCCGCCTTCCCTTCTTGTCCTGCCATCTGTTCCCGTGACCGTGCTGCAACCACTTAAAGGCCGGGGAAGCAGACACGCCTGTTTCCTAAAACACGAAAGACGTGGGAGCTTTCTCGCGCACTGACCTGACGCAAGGGAAGGGGGGGGGGGGGGAGGTGTTTGGTTGAATGGCGGGCAGGATCGGGCTGAGACGGGGAGAGACGGGGGGGAGACAAGGCACCAGTGGCGTCGAGACGTGTTCCCTGTTGTTCATCAATCCAAGCATGTCCCATTAGAAATATCCGTACGATGAGGAAGATAGTGCATTGTGAAGGAAACGAGAGCGAGAGGGAGAGGGGACAAGGAGAGGAGACAAGGAGAGGAGGGACAAGGAGATGGTGACGAAGGACAAGGGGGAAGGTCGTCTCTTGGTCGAGGTACGTACGTACTCGTCTCGTTCGACCTGCATTGCTGGTGCGTTGCGTCCGCAGCCCTGAGCCTGAGTTTCCACAATCGTTCGGCATGTATGCCCCACTCCACCCTCTTTCAGCCAATCCAACATCGTCCTTCTTGATAGGAGCGGGTCATGATTGGCCGATGACCTCGAACCTGGCAAGTGGGTATGGGAGCTCCCAACCTCTCGATTTCGGCTCGCTCGAAGGGCAGGGCAGAGAGAGCAAGCAAGAGCATGGGGATCCAGCGGGTGCTGCATTAGAAAAGACGGTAGGAAGGTAGAAGGTTGCTGTCCTCCCACCCCACCCCCTTCTCCTCCCCCCCAAGGCAATTGGGTTGCTGCCCGTCTGTCGCATCTTCCTCCCGCTTTCTCCTGCCCCTCCCACGTTTTCCTGCGGCCACTCACTCTCAATCAGCGACATTTACATTTGCCTTGTCTCCTACCCACTCCTCCCGTCTTGTGGTAGAGGAAGACGAGCGAAAGAGCGATCTGATCCCATCAGCGCCGCGCCGCTTTGTCACTTTACCATACTATACCTACCTACCTACCTACCTTACCTTAGATCCACACTCAAATTCAACCTTGCTTCATACTATCTATCTATCTCACTCACTCTTATCGCGCGCGCGCAATTCGTTCCCCATCACATCCTGCAACCCCAGGTTCACATCCGCTCAGAACTTATACACTGTCTCCCTGATCGACTAGTCCCCTTCACTTCATATCTTCCCCCCCCACATCCTGCGTGCGCTGCACAACTACATACTACCTCACGTGAACCAACAAGGTACATCTATACCTTACATTACCCCCCATAGCCGCCAGTCTGCAGAAGGAAGTCTGTCTCTGTCGCTATACCGAGACGACCGCGGTCAAGGGTGCGCACCCAGACGATTCTTTTGACCACTACTCATGTTTTCCATGCCGTCCTTGGTCACCGTTAACAACAACGTTTCCCTGCTGAGCATCACCATCGCTCCAAGCACATACGTCGCAACTCTAACCCTATCCTTCGTCTTCGTCTACCTGTACATCGTCCAGGTCTCGTGGAAGCCGACCCTGGTCCCCAATATCAGCTACTTCAAGCGCACAAGTCGCAACGCCAAAACCACCTCCGCCGAGGCCGCAGTCGACCCATCTCTTCTGCCCCCGCCACCCACTTACAAGACTCTGCTCGCACAACCCATCGAGGCCAGCGGCGCCCTCGTCCGTCGCAGCAACCGCCACTCCTCCCAACCCCACCACAACCAGCACTATGATGATGGCCACGAAGCCGCCGCCGCCCCCAATGACGTTCGATCCGCTCGATCATTTAGACGCCTCTTTGGGCGACTTCGAGCCGACGACCCCGCCCCCCAACAAGAGGTCCACCACCGGGAACTTGTTCCGCTACCCATCGCACCACTCGGGGTTCCGGTCCGAAGACAACGAGAGCGACCTGGGCCCGGACCCAGAAAACTCAGTCTCCGCCGGTGGCTACAGTCCTCCGGCCTGGCGCCGCCTCGGAAACGGGAGCCGCGACAGCGGCTTTTGGCGCAGGAGTGATGACCTCCTTGGCGCATTCCCGCCGCCGTTCCGCCGCGCCTTTGGCACCAAATCGCGCGAGTCGAGCCCCGAGTATGACAGCGACGGTGACGAGCACGAGGCGGTGCTGCGCAGGGCTATGCGCACGAGGTTGCCGACGGGTAGCAAGAGCCCCGACAAGGGACGGTCGCCGAGCCCTGAGCCCAAGATGGAGAATACAACGATCAAGCTAGAGGATATCCCATGGAAAGAGGCGAGTCCGTCGGAGGGCACGTTGAATCAAGACAACTGTATGCCCCCCTTCACTCTGAGCGCGATCCCTCTCTTTGCTCATGTGTGACTGTCGTCAAAAGATATGAGACTGATATCGTCCATAGACATCAGATTCGCATTGCGCGCAGAAGTACAGCAGCGCACAGAACCAATCGAGGCACTCGTCCACTTCTTCCGCTCCAAGTGGCGCTTCCTAACTCACTCGTGGTCATCCACGATCCTATCCATCATCGTCGCCGTGCTCGCCGTCACTGCGACGCGCAACCTCTTCCAGCCCGCCGCGCAACAGCCGGTCCCTGATCTGGTCAAGGTCGCCGGAATCGCGCGCTCATTCGAGCCGCTCATCTACTTCTCCGAAAACGGCGCATCGCAGGTCGGCGATCTACAGGCCACGGGCGTCGCTGTTTGGGATCTCGGCGAGAGTGTGCGCTCCAGCAATATGACGTCTGCGCCCATCATCGTCAAGGAGCTCGATGACCTAAGTGACAGCCTCAAGACTCTGGCTGTTGAGCTGACCAAGTTCTTTGCAAACGTCGACGGTGATATTGACGGGTAAGTTGGAGTCGTTCGCTCATGAACCTTCTCATTCTGACACTTTCCCCCCAGCATTCTCATCGTCATGGACTGGGCGCGTAGAGAGCTCTCTCAAGTTCAGCACCTTCCGTCGTCTCCCTTCACTGCCGCCTTTGACAACATTCATAACCTCCTCTCCCTAGCCGGCGTCCTCGAGGACGGCTTCGGCACCCCGACTCGCCTTGGCTCCCTCTCGAGGTACATATTTGGCATGTCTAACCCGCAACGGACCCGCCTCACCCTCCAGCGCACGTTCAACGAGTTCCTCACTGTGCTCGAGGACGCCATCAACTCGGAACTCCAGCACTCTCTTGCCTTGTTCGCTCTCTTCGAGGCGATCGACCATCAGTTCCTGAACCTTGCCCGCACCGTCGTTCGCGAGGCCTCGGCGCAAGACGACATGCATGCCGACCTGCTGTCGTCGCTCTGGACGCGCATTCTGGGCGCCAACGCCGCCGAGGTGGCCAAGTACGACCGGAACCGTCAGCTGTTGCAGAATGTGAGGGAGAAGACAGTGCGGAACAAAAGCATTCTGGTCGAGCACAATGGCAAACTCATGGCGCTCAAGGCCAACCTCGAGAACCTGCGGCGCAAGCTCGTCAGCCCACTGGTCAGGTCCGTCAACTCGAGCACCTTGACTCTCGAGGACCAGATTCGTGGGCTCGAAGACGTCGGCGGGTATCTCGAGGGCGTGCGCACACGGCAGAAGGGCAAGCTGATGGAGATGCTGTACGGGAATGTGGGGAACAACCGCCGCCTCATTGAGGAGCGGTCGTACGACCGTACATCTTGAGGATGCTAAGGGCTGGGCACTGTCCCAACGTTTGTGCCTTGTTTGGTTGCATCTCCTTGCTGTTTCTTGCCCTTGTATACTGCCATGGCGTACTTGGAACCTAGAGAAAAACATCTACGGCGTTTCTGCTGAACTAGATAGACATTTGGCTAAAGCACTGAAAGAGACAACGATGTCTCGCGCGCATTTTCATAGGAGTTGGGGGACGAGGTCATGCAGAACCCTCATGCATTGGATGAAAACAGAGGCCACTGTATGTGGGACAACTAGCAGATGCCGGCGTACGCAGCTGATGGACTGGAGGACCGTATCGCTTCGAGGGGCGCTACCCTCTGTCGGTGGCTTCTGAGAAGAGAAAGAGGGAGAGAGAGAGGGCGCTTGTGTTTGTTGCTTTTTTCCCTTTTCTTCTTCTTTTTTTCCAAGCTAGGGCGGGTTAGGTGTTTGGGATATGGCGTTTTACTTTTTGTTTTTGTCTGCACTGGAAACTCTTGTCGGGAAAGGCTTTTTGTACCTAGGGGAGGGAAGTGCAAATGCGGAATATGAATATCGTTCAAACCAACCTTTTGCTTTGGGGGGGGGGGGGGGGGGCAAAACGGGTCCGGTGATGATTGCGATGTGGCCGTATTGCCATTCTGCCTACAAAGCCAGTATATAGTATACGACGCCGCTTTTGCGCCCACCACACAACCGGCACCAGACTTTTGTCAGCTTCGGCGGCGGACTCGGTCCTTGGTCGTGAGACGAGAGGGAGCAGAGCGGCCAACTTGACGTGGTTCGCACTATTCTTTCCCTTTGATGTATAAACGAGACCGACCTGTAGGGGCCTCGTCAGGAACTGAACCAGCCAGAGCCCTTAGGCATTGGCGGCGTTGAAAAGCGACCTAATTGGGCTGAAGCACCGCGGCGGCCAGCCGGGGCGGGAACGGGATGGCTGTAAAAAGGGGGGAAGGAGATGTATATGCTGCTGTCTCTGGTGAACGGCACCGTCTGCGGCCTGTTCAAGACGTGATACCCCGAAGGAGAGACCGAGGATGAGGGAGGGAGGGAGGGAAGAGGTGTGTGTCGACGCTCCATCCCGCCGAGCTTTCGGCCGACGGCGGCCAGCAAAGGTATGTGTGTAGTAGCCGGGCTGCTAGCGATCCAAGAGGTACACATGCGCTTTTCACTGGTCTGCTGCTACATTTGTTAGCTACGCTCGCTCTCGAGCTAGTAATCAAAATAGTCCACTTACGCGATAGGGCAAAAGAAACTGCTTCATCGCCCAGGTAAGCCAGTTCGACCATGCCGGCCAGGGGGGGGTATTAATTCCGCCACAAGACGGAGAGCTCTCCAGAGGTGGTGGACATATGAGTATGGCAGCCTTCTGACAGAGATCGCTTTGTTGGCCTCTCCCACCCCACCTGCCCGTCCTGCCGGGGAAGAGGGGGGAGTGAGCGAGGAGGAACCGCTGCGACCGCCTCGGGGATGGAACACGGACTCCCACGGCCCGTCTACCGATCCTCGGAGGCTTGCGGAGGCAAAAGTCGCGATATGCAAACGCGCCCCCGCCGAGACGTCCCTTCCATCGTCTTTTCTCGGCCCCTAAGAAGACCCGTAAGTATGTCTCGAACATGCTACGGGCCTGGTAGGATACGATGGCGCTTGTTGAAACGTTCTCCTCGAGAGAAGGAAGAAACCAAAAAGTTCAGCATCAGTAGCCTGTCACTTGGGTCGGTCTTAGCCTCGTGGTCAGTCGTGAGAATGAGGCAATAGTCAGGCTACGATTATCTGGTCGCGTGTTAATCAAGCAAAACCGGACGGGTTTAACGAGCGGCAGAGACGGATGCCAAACTGAGGCGTTCCGAGGGGGAAAAGGGGGGGGGAATCACGCATCACAACAGGAAGACCCAGAGGTTATTTATGAACTTTCCATTAGGAGATAGTTTGCCGCCTACTCTCTCTCATAACCACCATCTGCCAGTTTGCCTGAAGAAACGTGTACCGTTCTGTGTGGGGGTATTGGTGCTATCGCAGGCGAGCGAAGCCAGGCAACTCGCGCGACTCAAACATTCAACCGTAAAACGCCTTCCCGGAGAACCATACTGCGGGGCAGCAAACGACGCATCCCAACGAGCCTTCCCCGGCAGAAAGAGAACAGGGCCGCCCGCAGGGAATCCGCCACTCTCCCTGCCCACGAGGCAGTGAAGAAGTCTATCCATACATGCAGGCCTTTGGGACGTTTGAAGACAGATCCTGCAATGCTCTGCCAACTTGATAAAGCATGTCGTGGAGATCCCTTTGGCGTTTAAAAATGCAGTCGATTATGCCGCCTCATTTCAAATAACTTTTCCCAATCCGTGCTGAGCAAAATGACTTCATGAGCGTCGTCGTCGTATGCTCACTGGTCGTCGAAAGGATGCCCGATAAATAGGGGTATGATGACATAAGGAAATCATGCTCATGACGTTGCGTGATAGTCGAAGAGATGGCTTAAGCCTTGGTCTCCTCGGCCTTCTTCTCGCCCTCCTCGCCGCCTTGAGCCTTGATGTACTCCTCATAGACGCCGAGGGCCTCGTCGACCTTGGCCTTGAGAGCGGACTCGTCCTCGATGCTGCGAATCATTAGCAAGGGTTTGGCGGGCCTTGGGGGGAGACAGTGATAACTTACAGGTTAACAAGCTCAGCGTTGTCCATCTCGAGGAGCATACCGGTGATCTTGCCGGCAAGCTCGGGCTGAATGGCCTGGATCTTGGGGAAGATGACTTCACCGAGGATCTGCTTCTGCTGGCCGGGGTTGCTACCGGCGGCAGCGAGCTGCTGCTGGATGAGGCTGCCGCTGTTGAGGTCCTGGGCGGGAGCTCCACGTCCACCCTGAGGGAAGGGGGCGTTGCGGGGAGCGTTGGGGTTGGCACCGCGACCGGCGCCGGGCTGGTTGCCACCCTGGCGGGCGTTGGGGGGGAAGCCGGGCATACCGGGGCCGGGCATAGGCATGCCCTGGGGAACGGGGCCACGACCGCCCTGAGGACCGCCACGGCCGCCGCCCATGGTGGCCTGCTGAACCTGCTGGATGGCAGCGAGGAACTGGGGGTTGCCGGGCTGAGGGTAGGGAGCGCCGGGAGGGAACTGGCCAGGGATGCCGTAGACGGGGGGCATCTGCTGGGGAAGGCCACCACGTCCGCCCTGCTGCGGGTAACCGCCAGGGAACTGACCGGGGCGGCCGCCCTGAACGGCAGGCATGGCCATACCGGGTTGGGGGAAGGCCATACCGCGACCACCCTGAGGGAAGACAGGCTGCTGACCAGCGGCGTAGAAGACAGGGGGCTGCATGTACTGCTGGGGCATACCGGCGGCGGCGGCGGCCTGCTGCATGCGGAGCTGGTTGCGAGCCTGGATACTAGCCTCAAGCTGGCTCTTGCGAACATCCTTCCGCTGGGCAAGGGCGACGTAGAGGGGCTTGCCGTTGACCATGCGCTGGTTCATCTCGGCGACAGCTTTGGTGGCATCGTCGGGGTTGCTGAAGCAGACGAAGCCGAAGCCCTTGCTCTTACCATGGGGCTTCTTGTCCGACTTCTTGTCGGCCTTCTTGTCGGCATCCTCCTTGTCCTCGGACTTGGCCTCCTCGGCCTTCTCCTCACCCTCCTCCTTCTTGGGCTCGTTCTCCTTGTCATCGGAAGAACCCTCGTCCTCGTTGCCGGATTCGGTGGCGTTGTCACGCATGACCTTGGCGGAGGTGATGGGGCCGAAATCGGCGAAAAGCTGGCGGAGCTTCTCATCGTCAACCTCGTCGTCAAGGTTCTTGATGTACAGGTTGACACCCTGGTACTTGCTGGCCTTCTCCATGCGAGCAGCTTCGTAAGACTTGCGCAATTCCTCCTCGCGCTCGTGCTTCTTCTGGGCTCGGCCAACGTACAAGTCCTGTCCGCGGAAGTCCTTGCCGTTGAGATCATCAACAGCCTTGGCGGCAGCCTCGTGGGTGGTGAAGTTGACGAAGCCGAAGCCGCGGCTCTTGCCCTCCTGATCGCGAGCGAGGGAGGAAGAGGTGACATCACCGAAGGCGGTGAAGAGGTCGCGGAACTCGTCGTCAGTAACCTCGTTGGCGATGTTCTTGACGTAGATGTTGGTGAAGTTGGCCTTCATCTCCTCGAACTTGCTCTGGCGGTCCTTCTTGGGGATGTGGTGACCGACGTAGACCTTCTTCTCGTTGAGAAGCATGCCGTTAACGTGCTTGATAGCCTGGGAAGCAGCCTCATCAGTCTCGTAGTGAACGAATCCGTAACCCTTGGAGTTGCCGTGCTCGTCCTGGGCGACCTTGCAACTCAGGATGTTGCCGAAAGCAGCGAAAGTGTCGTGCAGAGCCTTGTTGTCGATGGCGACGTCGAGGTTCTTGATGAAGACGTTGCCCTGGCCGGTCTTGCGCAGAGCGGGGTCACGCTGAGACCACATGATGCGGCAGGGGCGACCCTTAATGAGAGTGTAGTTGAGCTCCTCGAGAGCCTTCTCACCATCGGAGGTGGTGTTGTAGTTCACGTACGCATAGCCGAGAGAGCGGCGGGTAACCGCATCACGGCAGACACGAATGGAAGCGACGGAGCCAATCTGGGAGAAGAGCTCAAAGAGCATGGCCTCGGTGACGGAGGGGTCGAGCTCGCCGACGTAGAGGGACGCAGAGGCCTGGGGGTGGGGAGCAGCGGAGCCGGGTGTAGGGCCAGCGGCGTCGGCATTGTCGCCCTGGGCGCCAGACTCAACGTTGGTGTTGACGGCGGGGGCGTTCTTGTCAGTGCCGTTGAGCGAGGCGTTGCTCAGGTCGCTGGCGAGCTGGTCGACAGCGCCGTTGTTGGCAGCAGTGGTGGCCATTGTATCGGTGTTGGATATGACACGGGGAAAGGATACTGCGACCACGAGCACTTGTTAGGATCGGACGACTGACTGATTGTGGAAATGGGATTGAGAGTGCGCCAAGGCGGGGTAAGGACATCGCGACCTGCAAAAATTGTACCGAGGCCGACTGAGAAGGGGAGGGGAAGGGGGAGTGAAAAAGAACATACCAAGTCAAGAAATCTGACGATGGGTCGTTGGACAGAACCGGTCGGTGTGGAGGAAGAGGGGGGGGGGGGGGGGGGGGGGGGGTTAAGGGTACGGCGGACGAGGCGAAGAAGAGGCTTTCTTGTCGAAGGAGGCTATGGCGATGTGTGACGTTTGACCGACACACACGGAGGGGGCACTTGATGCAAGATTGACAGGCAGGTGCTGAGGTAAAAAAGCAAGAAAAGAGGTTCGGTGAACGAGTCCTCTATAGTATTTTTCTTGCGATTGAGGAGGGGGAGGAGATTCCAATATGGAAGTGGGAAATTTTTGATGGGGGATTTTCAAGTTTTTTTTGGAAGTTTTTTTCTGATGGAAAAAAGTGAGCGAGACAGAGAACAAGTACGAAAGACGTACTCCTTGTCAGACCCTCTTTAGATGTGAAGGGGGTTGTTGATAGGGTTTGTGTGGTTGGTAGATGAGAAAAGAAGAGAAGAGGAGGAGGGAAAGAGAATTTCAATGAATGTGGCTTTCGGAGATGTTTTTTTTTTTACTGGATCTGCCACATGCAGTGGAGGGTGAATGAATGGTGCGGTGCTGCGTGCCTTCCCACCAACGGATTTTTGACTGGTTTCTCTTCTTGTCACTGTTACGGATACTGTTCTACGTGTATTCCCCCCCTTCCCTCCTTTCCCGCCTTCCAGATTTTGTCATTTTGTCGAGGGGCAGCCGGCAGGAGCAGGGCATGTGCCAGAAGAGTGGATACGCTAGAACCAAGTCACCATCATGCGAACACTATCAGTTCTCGCAGCAAGACACCATAGATAACAGATATCGTTCAGCATCCCGCGGCTCTACCGATACGAGACGTTGAGGTACCTGGTGGGGACACCATCGTTAGGAATGAAAATTGTGATTCCATGCGACCGCAACGGTTGTCAAGAGTGAACCCTGCCTGCCTGCTACCGACTGCAAAAGAAAATACAAACAATCATGAGGAGAAACAGCCAAGCCCCAGCTGGACGAGTATTTCCCGTAAACACATAAACACGCACCACACGACGTCAGTCTACTTACTAGATTGGTGACATTGATGGTATTGCTCATTTCCATACGAGCAAGGGGCACAGGATTCGAGGCATGGCTGCTGCAATCTTGATACCTCCCAGAAGAACGGCTTGTCTGTGCCCCCCAAGCGCGCGCCCCAAAAGTAGCACCGGCACTCCCGTCATGTCATTAGCTGCCGCCTTGGACATGGCCTTAAGGAGGGGGGGGTTGTTCAAGCCAGTCCGTCGCTGGAATGCAACCATGCGTACATCTCCAGAGGCTGTGACTGCGGTTGATGATGTCTGGTCACAGCGGCCCATCATCCATTATGGTGTCCTGATTAGGTAGGTAGGTAGGTAAAACAACAGACGACCCCCGGACGACAGTCAGTGATTGTGACGCAAGTGTCAAAAACAAACGTGCAACTGCAACAACCGCTCGAGCTACTGCTTGTTGAAACAACCTGACAACTGCGCCTGATACCATGGTGTTCCCTCAAAGATGAAGAAGGCCGGCATCGCTTCTTCGTGACTACACATCGTCTTTGTGTTCCCGGGGCTGGGGGGGGGGCAGAGGCAGGCAGACGTACGGAATCATTCATCATCCGCTGCGTTGGTTCTACACCGACACTTGCACGAGTAAAGAAACTGTATTTCGAGTCAGCCAAGTCCTGATGGCGAATCGCCGTCAAGATATAGACTTTTTTTTCTTCCTTTCTGTTTTGCTCATGAGTGTCTGGATTAGACCTGCGTAAATCTCTCTAGAGCTTATTGTTAAGTCTTGAAGCTATTGTCGTTATTATTGCCAACCGCTCGGAATTAGGTCACAAACGTTTGATTGTGTGTTCATTACCCCGGCTTCGGCTTGCCTTATCGAAAGCCGACCAGCTCACTTATCTGACACAGGTACGTACCTTTTCGACCACAGCATTGACACTACCTGGTGGTGGTGGTGGGTAGGTACCCAAGTACGTGGCGTAGCTACCTACCCACCAACTCCGGCCTCAGAACCTTCCACAACATCAAGCCGGGGCCAGCTCTAGCTTACCTCACCACCGTCTGTGCTCTCTATCTCGAGAAGCCGGGCCCCACCAACCAGTGTCCAAAGCCTGTGAATCCCCCTCCAGTGACAGTTCGATTACATACGCCCGTCTGAACGTGCTGAAGCTTCTTCTGGAGGTTAACCGCCTTCACTGACCCATCGTCGAGCTGCGGCACCGTCTCTGCTTGACATGAAATAACTCTGCCACCCACCTCTATTCTCCCTGAACGCGTTGCTCTCAAGGAAACATGTTTCCCACCTTCACAGGCAACTCCCGACGCCCCCGGAACGTGAACCTCAGCGGCCAGAACCTGAACCCATTCGCCGCCTCGTCATGGACTCCTGCTGCCGGTAGCGGCTCAGGAGCCTCCAAAACCGTCTCCAATGCCCAGGCCGAACGTGCTCAGAGGCAACACGATCGAGATAGGTTGAAGGCGGCAGGCAAGATCCAGAAGACGTGGAGGGGCCACAGGGTCAGAAGGCGACTTAGAGACTCTCGCCGCGAGGCCTTCGACGCTCTGTACATGAACAACTCGCATTTGGGCACACAGCAGAGGCTATCAACCGCCTTACCACTGCTGATAACCACATTCCAGTCCAACCACGACAAGGACCTCCAACGCCTCGTTTGTTTCTCCAGGGAGCTGACTACAACCAGCCTTGAGTGCCTCGCCCCTGCCACTCTTGCTCCTTCTCGACTGGCGCGATTCGTACAAATACTTGTCGAGGCTCTGCACGTCCAAACAGAGAAAAGGTTCCCATCCACCTATCCACCTGTGATCGATAATGACTGACAGCTCTTCCAGACATGAAGCCGACGATATCCGACTCCTCGTGGACCTCCTGACGCACATCGTAAACGTTGCCCCCGACTCGTTATCAAAGTCATTCCGACAATATTACACCGTGTTGGCAGAACTGTGTGGAATACTCGGCGCGGACACGGCGGCTCTGGAGGCTACGTCGAGGGCTGTTCTTGTGCCTCTGCGGGCAAAATCCGCCGACGATTATCTATTGGCAGCCTACGAAGCATTCGCATTGTCGTTTCTGACTCGCCATGACCTGTGTATTGTCGAGGAACACGCCCCGGTAATCTCTCAGAACCTTGACTCTGACAAACTTGCATCGGCAATCGCTACGGCATACAACAATGGACGGATACACGGTGCCGGCCGGGACGGTCAGGTCTGGCTTTTGGCGCATTTTATCGGCTTACATCAGAATACGGGCACTAAATATCAAGGGCTGAAGCATCTGGACGCACTTCACATCCAACTCTCGAGCTTATCTACAGAAATCAGCCTCAGACTTTCTGTAAAACCGGCCCGTTCTACATCACCAAACGCAGACTCCAACAGTATCGAAGAAGCCTTGGTTCGGCCACTACCTGGCTATGTCACACAGCAGCTTTCGTCATTAGTTGATAGAGATGGCATCTCCGCGCTGCTGGCTGAGCTTACCACGTGAGTGTACCACTAGCCCCTGCTGATGTATACTTCTGACACTCTTTAGTCACTTTGGCTCTCAGTCGTCAAGCCACGAGTTCCAGACCGCAAGCCTACTATCTGGCTATATTCTCACTCTTCTCCGGTGTTTCCCCAGTCAAGGCGATGATATCCGTATGCGTCTCTTCTTAGGCGATGTCAGATCGAGCACAGGCAGCTTGCCAACGATTAAGTTTCTATGGCAAGCCATGGGCCAAACAAGCATATACAATAAAATTCTGCAGGACTCGGCGTCCGTCACGGGTTTGCTACGGAACTACCTCTCAAAATCCCCGAGGTCAAATGACTCTCAAGAACCGGAATGGAGGCTAGTTCTGTTGTTCCTCGAACTCTACATTTTCATTTTACGTTTGAGTGATGACGAAGACTTTTTCAGCAGCATTCACCCAGGAGTCATACAGGGCGAAGGCCAAATGTCTCGGTTGCGGTCGTGCGGGCTCTCTCTCTCCGAGGTGAAGAATCTCACAATTGTGCTCAAGCATCTGGCTTTCACACTGCATTACAATGCTACCGATATCCTACAGAGTGTCCAGCAATCCGAGCCGATATCAATGAGCCAGCTCGAGTCCTACTTCGGAAGTAGCCACGCTGCAAAAACTTCGAAAGATACCCGAAGCCAGGAATTCCGAACCAACGCAGCTGATACCAGACTTGACCTCGGTAGCCTTCGCAGTATCGTCACAACGGCCTTGCGACTTGTGTATGAGCGGGACTCTCGGCGTCCTTTCTTGCCTCGAGATCATTGGCTCATGACCTCGAAGTTCGACATGGAGGGCTTTGTCAGCGCCGTCGTGGCAGAACAAGAGCGACAGAACGAAGTATCTGATTCGAGCGACGAAGAAGAGGGCGACGTTGAGGAAGATGCGACCATGGGTGGGCTGAACGATGGCATCATTCACACCATGGCTGGACAACGAGTCTCTCGACATGCGCAAATTGAAAAGCTTCGGTCCCAGCAACGCAAGGCACAGCGCGATCGCTTACTGGCCGTCATCGGGCCAAAGCTGGAGATCCTGAGACACATGCCTTTCGTCATTCCTTTCGACACTCGTGTCCAGATCTTCAGACAATTTGTGTACCTCGACAAGCACAAGCGCAGGGAAGGCATGGATGCCGACCAGTGGAGAATGACCATGCTTCATAATCCCCTGCGTCCTCCTGGAATGGGTCCGACTGGACGACACCATGGCAAAATCAGGAGAGGCCAGGTCTTCCAAGACGCTTTTGAACAATTCTATGAGCTAGGGGAAGGCCTGAAGGAGCCCATACAGATCCAGTTTGTCGACCAGTTCGATACGGTGGAAGCAGGAATCGATGGCGGCGGTGTTACAAAGGAATTCCTGACTAGCGTCACAACGGAGGCTTTTGGGCAGAGGGACGGCATCTCACTATTCACGGCCAACAGTCAAGGCCTCCTATACCCCAACCCAACAGCTATGGATGAGCTCAGGGAAGCCTTGAGACGAGCCGGAGTTCCTGAACGCAGTGCAGAGTGGCAAGATGAGGTGCAAGATCTGCTTCGGAAATTCGAGTTCCTCGGTCGAATCATCGGAAAATGCATGTACGAAGGAATACTCGTCGACATTGCGTTTGCCGGGTTTTTCCTCCTGAAGTGGATCTCGGGCCAGACTGGAGAGAACAGCTACCGTGGCAATGTCAACGATTTAAGGGATATGGACGAGGAATTCTACCAAGGCATGCTACGTCTGAAGAACTACAAGGAGAACGTGGCGGATCTGGCGCTGGATTTTACCATCAATGACCAGGTCTCGCTGCCCGGGGAACCCGTGCGTACCATGACTCGGAACCTGATCCCCAACGGCGAAAACATCACTGTCACCAACGACAACCGGCTCCTCTACATATCCTACGTCGCCCGCCACCGCCTCGTAGCACAACCCGCCCAGCAGACGGCCGCATTCCTTCGCGGTCTCCGCTCCATCATCGCCCCGTCCTGGCTCTCAATGTTCAACCAGAATGAACTGCAGCGTCTCGTTGGCGGAGACAGCTCCGAGATCGATATTGAAGACCTCAGGAGAAACACAATTTACTCGGGTTTGTACGAAGTGGGAGACGACGGACTGGAGCACCCGACAGTGCAGCTATTCTGGAAGGTCATGGCTGAGTTTTCGGACCGGGAGCGGCGAGACGTGCTCAAGTACGTGACGAGCACCCCACGAGCGCCCCTCTTGGGCTTCTCGCAGTTGAGTCCACGATTTAGCATCCGAGATGGAGGCGAGGACCAAGAGAGGCTGCCGAGTACTAGCACCTGTGTGAACCTGCTCAAGCTGCCGCGTTACAAGAAACAGGAGACACTGAGGCAGAAGCTGCTCTACGCCGTTTCCTCGGGGGCCGGGTTCGACCTCAGCTAAAAAGACGTACTGCTGGAGAGGCAGATCCGCAAGGGACAGTAATGATGTTATGACACATGATTAGAGCAGACCACGGATATTCTAGTGTAATTTTATTGTTCTAAGCTTTGTTGGTCCCATGTGTTTGCGCCACCTGATACCATCACAGATATACCGAATAAACCTGCCGACTTGTTCAATAAGCTCGGCCACCCGTGGTTTCTTGTATCAAGCAACTGTCTCGATCTGGATACCTTAAAGATTGGAGAATTACCAGTTTAATCACATGCGCTCAATCATCTACATGAATGTAATCACAGTACGCAATACTTTACTGGAAGGTCCGGGCGTGTCGTAGAAGCCCAATTGCCTCATCTATGAATACTGCACGGGTGCATATAAACTCGTACTACTAGCTTCGCGGGAATGGACACTTGTGCGTGTAGCCGCACCTTCATGCCCCCCGCCCCCCCGCGTACGTTCCAGCTGTGTTACTGGTAGCTCCTCTCAAGGAGGTGCGGCTTCCTCTCCCTGAGGTCCAGCATCATCTGCCCAAAAAGCCCATTGGCCCAGGCGAACCTGCGCGGTGACAGACATCGGTTAGCGGTCTCGTTTCAATTCATCACTCAGGACATGTGCCCCTTTTTTAGGCTTACCAAGACCGAGTCCACTGTGAGGCGTCATGGCTGTTTATCGACTCGTGGATGAGACCGAGCCCGTTCGTGGAGCCAACGAGCTGGCGTAGGCCGTCGGCGATCTCGTCGTCGTCGTCCGAGGTCATGAGCTGCGCAATGAGGGCCATGGGCCAGGCGTTGCCGGGCCCGACATGCGGACCGCCCGTGGCGTTGAGGACGGGACCGCGCATCTGGTACGGGTTTGAGGTGGAGAGGACGAAGCGGCGGGTGTTTTGGTAGATCGGGTCCTGGGCGGAGAGGTAGCCGTAGTGCGGGGCGGAGAGAAGGGACGGGATGTTTGCGTCGTCCTGGGTTTGACGGTCAGCCCGGGGCTATCTCGGACGTCGAGGGAAGAGAAGAGAACAGAAGAGAAAGCGGGAGGGCGTCCACCACACTAACCATGTTGTTGTGGCTGCCGAAGCCGTCCACTTCGTACGAGTAGATCTCGCCGTACTTGGGGTGCGTCGTTTTGCCGTGTGCCTCGATGCCGTCACGGACGGTGGCTGCTGAGTCGCGCATGCGCTCGGCGAGGCTCGTGTCGATGGCGTCCATGATCTCGGCGCAAGAGTCAAGGTAGCGGGAGAACATCATGTTGGCAGGCACGAAGAGCTGGTAGATGCAGCTGTCGTCGCTGGGGCGGAAGAAGCTACGGACCATGCCCGTGTCGCCCTGCGTGGGTGCGCCGTTGCCGTGGTTGGAGAGCGTCTCCGAGGCCGAGGTGGTCTGGCGCTCGAAGAGGGCGGGCGACGGGTTGAGGGTGCCGTCGGCGGCGTAGGTGCCGGCGCGCAGGGCATCCGTCGTGTTGAGGAGGACGGCGACGGCCTTGGCCCAGTTGAAGCGGGCGAAGAAGTCCTTGTCGGCGGTGGCAGCGTAGTAGTCGTGGGAGAGCTGGAGGAAGGCGGCCAGGGAGTCCAGCTCGTACCTGATCTGGTTAGATGTCGTACGCGGGGAGGCAGAGAACGGACGACGTACTTGCACTCGAAAAATGAATAGGTTGGGTATGCCGGGTATATTTTGTCGGGGCTGCCGTTGCTTGTGGGAGGCACATTGGATTCCTCTGGTGGCTGGAAGGCGTTGCAATGGGGTGCGAAACGGACATAACGAGCCTGCAAGTTGATGGCCCCGCGGTAGAGCGCGGCCAGAGACCCTGCCGAGGAGTTGCGCTCGAGTAGGGAACGGTAGCTCTGTAGCTGATTACTGCTGTCCCTGAGCCATTCGGCGTTGATGTCGCCGGTAATGATGAAGCTCAGCTCCTCCTCTGGATCCTCAGCGGCGAACCCGGTCCAGGCGACGGTCGTGTCGAGTGTGTTTGGGAAGGCGTTCTCGAAGAGTCGGTACAGGTCCGGGTCTTTTACGAGCGTCTTCATGTCGGAGATGGTCTTCTCGACTTCGGGAAAGCTGGCCGTCCGACATTCCGGGGCAGGCCGTTGATACGAGAGCTTATGGACGCCCTCGGAGAAGGGCTCGTGGGGAGTGGCGGCGTAGTTGGTGAAGTGAGGGCAGTCGGGTTTCAGAGCTGCCGCCGCCAGACCAGCAAAGGCGAGACCATACAAAAGGGCCATGTTGGATTCGAGTCTACGGTGTTCACGACCACAAGAAGTCGCGAAGGCTGGCCCTCGGCGGGGAGGGCATGCTTATAAGATGGCCGGACAGCGTCAATTACCAGTGATCATGTTCCCTCTAGGTAGTCAGGATGAACTACGGTTCGCGTAACCTTGAGATACGAGCGGGGAAGGGGGCGCCGATCACGATGCGGGGGGGGGAAACGTTGTAAACGGATACTAATCTATGAATGCCGTCGTATTGCAGGAGTATATGATGTCGTTCTCTCTGTTAGCGTTCACGGCGCGGTCGGCATCAATATGGGGGAGATGAGGGTGGGGCAGAGAGAGAGGGAGAGGGGGAGAGAGAACTGAGAGATGCCGCGGGTGGAGGAACAAGTCGACGAGCATAACGTGCAAGTCATGGGCTACGACGCTGTTTTAGCATCGGGCGGTTCTAATGCGATAAGCATATGTCCCAGAAGCTCAGACCATGAGATTTATTTGAGCATTTCCCACAAGCTTCAAGAAGAAGTGGGAGTTGTGGACTGCTCTCAAACGTGATGAAGACGCTTGACGGACAGGGGTTGACCCAGGGAAGCTTCGGCAGAAGTTGAGTAATGGAGAAAGAAAGGCACTTGAAGGAAGGCCGATGATGAGGAGAAAGGAGGGCATGGGAGGGGGCTAGAGACAAGGATTCTCCGCGCCTTGATGCAGTCGGTCCTTGAATCTCGAGCCAAGAAACGACAACGGCAAGGTACAAGGCGTCGGTGAGTCCCTTCCCACTGCCGGTAGGTAGGTAGCCTGTAGGTGGGTCAGGGGTCTCAGGAGAGAGGATGACCCTGCCGGGCCTTTGCCGGAGAATTCAATCGGTACTGACTGTTTCCGAGCCAGGGTTAGGAATAAGTAACTTTAAGTAATTGTTTCTAAAAAAATCCTTACTTAAGTATACTTAGGCCTATAAGATACATACTTAAGTTTACTTAAGCTAAGAAGGTACTTACTTAAGTATACTTAAATACTTATTACGTAATATTTTAAAATAATTTCTTAGTAAAGTAAAAAAAGATAAAGCTAATACTCTAGGTCTCTAGTTATATAACTAGTTACATAACCTAAGTAGCTAGCTAATCTAGCCTATTATATACCTTATTATTTATCTTTTTCTTATATAAGTAAGTATTTAAGTATACTTAAGACTCACTTAAGTATACTTAAGTATTTGCTTTAGAGAATTTTACTTACTTATACTTAGTAAGTATTTTTAACTCTAGACTTATACTTACTTACTTAAGTATACTTATACTTTTACTTATACTTAAGTATTTTTTCCTAACTCTGTTCCGAGCAGTTATCCAGTCGGGGAACAACGATTCAACTGGCACGAGTTGCACCAACTTTTTAACCTTAAAAGTGGTACGCAAGAAAAGGAGGGGAAAAAACAAATAAGCATCACTGGGTGCTCCTAGTTCCCGGTACCTGGCCGGGCTGGGCCGTTACATTGACTGCTTATAGCGGCTTTCCTCCTGCGTGCGGACATGGCAAGCTGTACTACACCTACCTAGGTATGTACATATATATACACATATCTTTTTTAAACTACTTACCTGCCTACCTCGAAACCATCTGGCCAAGCATCCCTTTCTGTAACAGTTAGGGCCTTCAGCCGCATGTAGTGTAGTGTAGGTACTCGGCGGCACCCACGCCGCTTCCCAATGGAGGCAGATGAGTTAGGTAATTATCCAGTGGCGTCAATAGGGTAACTATTTCTGGGCTGGCAACAAAACAACCCCCGCCGCCGAGACATTTCAGGAGACGGAGGCGGAGCCCAGCCCTTGCCTCTCTCTCTCTCTCTCTCTCTCTCTCTCTCTCTCTCTCTCTCTCTCTGTGTGTGTGTGTGTGTGTGTGTGTGTCTCTCTCTCTCTGTCGCTCTCGCTCCCGCTCTCCTTTTCTCTCCATGCATCGCCGTTCTGGAGAATTTCTAGTAGGCTGCGCTTTTATCCTTCCCAGGTATAATACTGCACTCGCGTCTCATCGGTAACCCCTTCTGCACCAGGCGCATTGAAGGCTTGAGCTTCCCGGCGCCTCGTCTCGCCTCGCCTTGCCTAACATCTCATTTTTTGCCGTCGTACTTGCTGTCGAATCCAGCCTTGAATGCCGGCTTGCCGGACTAGCAATTGGCCGAATTCTGTTTACTCTGGCTTAGCTTGGTCGACTGTTATCATAATCCGGTCCGGATAGCTCCCCAAACGACATCATCCAAACCGACTTCTTCAACTACACTACGTCCAATGCATATCTTGGCTCTCTAAATATTCACTGACGCATCCGGGTCCAGCTTCATTATCAGCTGCCGTACTTCTACCTAACGTCAACAGATTTCGACTAGGAAACTCTTTACATGACTGATCAAAGCACCTGTCATCATTCAGCATACGACGTCTGTTCCATAGTCCTGGCGGCATCTTGAAACGTACTCTTTCCAGGCCGTCTTTGCGCTTCACTACCGGCCCCTTGTCAATCGCAGGCCCGATATGGGAATCCTAATCCCTGTTACCCGCCTATCTCGACCTGTGCGGCTGTTGATCTTCGCTGCTGTCTTCGTGTGCCTGTTTCGTTGGTGGCCTTCGGAATCTCGCGGGCTCTCTTCTCTTTTCTACTCCGACTTGAACCCAAAAGTCCAGCACGATGTTCTGAAATATGTCAACCCCTTGATCGGGACTATCAACGGAGGTCAGTGGAAGCCTGAGCCGTGCTTTGACATAGCTAGCTGACGATCCCAGGTCATGTGTTTCCCGGTGCATCTCTACCATATGGTTGGTGTTCCCGTCGTCATTCACTGGAAGCCATCTTGCACTAACATTCAAGGCTAGGGATGGCCAAGGCCTGTGCGGACACCGATTCTCATGCCGAAAACGCTGCGGGCTGGGTCTCCGACAGCTCAAAAATAACCGGCTTCTCTCATTTGCATGATTCTGGTAAGTCCTGTTCTATCCCGTACGTGGCATCCTCTTACTCACGTGCGCAGGAACCGGCGGTGTGAGATGTCCTTGTCCATGTTGGAAGCATCCATCAGCATTACTGACCCTCGTATAGTCACCGTCTCTGGGCAATTTCCCGCTCTTTCCTCATCCCGGATGCAAAAACGATGACTACTTGGCATGCAAGTATACGACGGAGCAAAGAAGCCTGTTCCGTGTCAACGACTCAGTCGTGGCTCGCCCGGGCTACTTTTCTGTCCATCTCACAAACACCGTGCGTGCCGAGATGACGGCCAGTGAACGTACGGCTCTGTACCGCTTCAGCTTTTCGCCCAATGACACAGTATCGTATGCCGACACAGCCAACCATGGCACCATTGATGCAGTGAGCAGCCCTCTGATCCTCATCGATCTCACGGATATCGCCCAGAGCAGAACCAGCGGTGGCATCCAGGTGTACGAATCGGGCCGTGTCATCGGCGATGGCATGTTCAGACCTTCCTTCGGCCAAGGCAACTACAGGGCCTTTTTCTGCGCTGATTTCCGAGGGGCCACCATTCGCAAGTCTGGCGTTTTCGAGGGCGAAAATCCTCGCGAGGACCCAAAACATCTGGCCGAGTTCACCCGAGGCATTCGCAATCCTACCGGTGCCGCCGGCGCGTGGTTGCACTTTGAAAGGCCCAAGAACCACCAGATTCTCGCCCGGGTTGGCCTCTCCTTCGTCTCCGTTGACAAGGCTTGCCAGAATGCCGAGAACGAGATACCATTGTTCGATTTCGACGGCACCGTGCGTGCTGCGGAGTCAGCTTGGAGCGAGAAGCTCTCCGTGGTGGAGCTCGATACTGCGGGCGTGGGCGAGGACATGAAGACGACATTCTGGTCTGGTCTTTACCGGAGTTTGCTTTCACCTCAGAATTATACTGGCGAGAACCCTCTGTGGGAGTCATCCGAACCGTATTTTGACTCGTTCTACTGCATCTGGGATTCCTTCCGAGCCCAACACCCACTGCTCACGATTGTCGATCCGGAGGCACAAACGCAAATGGTTCGAGCCTTGTTAGATATTTACAGATTCACCGGCAAGCTCCCAGATTGCAGGATGTCGTTCTGCAAGGGCTTCAGCCAGGGGGGCTCCAATGCCGACGTTGTGATTGCGGACGCCTACCTCAAAAACATGACCACCGGCGTGGACTGGAAGACAGCATACGAGGCCGTGGTTTCCGATGCTGAAGGTTTGTGGGTTGCCGTGACTAGCGAGAATTGACTTTCTGACCAGCATGCAGTTGCGCCGCAGAATTTTGGCGTCGAAGGCCGCGGTAACCTCGAAAGTTGGTTCGGGCTGGGATACATCGCACAAGACCACATGGACAAGTTGTCGTCAGGCCCGAATAGTCGCTCCATTTCTCGCACTGTCGAGTACGCCTACGACGACTTCTGCATCGCCGAGATGGCGCAAGGACTCGGCCACAAGGATGATTATGCAAAATACATGCAGCGCAGCGCTAACTGGCAAAACCTCTGGAAGCCTGATGCGCCAGATATCGTTGTGGGCAAGGACAGAAAGGAGGTTGAGAGAACAAAGTACACGGGTTTCCTGATGCCAAAGCTGATCAACGGCTCGTTTACACAGCAAAACACGCGCATATGCTCGCCCAACACGGAGCAGCATCTGTGCTACTTCGACACGGCGCAGGCAACGTACGAAGGCTCCCCATGGCTGTACTCATTCTTTGCGCCACAGGATATGGCGACGCTGATCTCGCTCATGGGCGGTCGGGAAGCGTTCGTCGACCGGCTCGAGTACTACCACAGCGGCAATATCGTCTACATGGGCAACGAACAAGCCTTCCTGACGGTGTTCCAGTTCCACTACGCGGGTAGACCCGGCCTCAGCTCGCGTACTACACGGAGCTACATCCCGTCGCAGTTCAATGCTTCAATCAACGGCATCCCCGGCAACGACGACTGCGCCATGGGTGCTTTTAGCGCGCTTGCGATGATGGGTTTCTTCCCCGTCGCGGGGCAGGACGTGTACCTGCTCATCCCGCCCTTTTTCCCCGAGGTACGGCTCAAGACTCGAGGGGCTCGGCTCGCTGTGATCCGAAAGGTTGCAGTTAACGACAGGGAGTTGGCAGACGGCATTTACATCCAAAGCGCCACTCTGGACGGGAAGCCTTACACCAAGAACTGGATCTCGCACGAGTTCTTTTACCGCGGCGGAACGCTGGAGCTCACGGTGGGCTCAAAGGAGGGAGATTGGGGCACCAGAGAGGAAGACGTGCCGCCTAGCTATCCTGCTGCACCCAAGACAAAACCACCGCCAACGCGGACATTCCGGAGCTGAAGAGAGGGCGCGGGAGGTGGCGCAAATATACAAGCAACAGCACCAAAGTCGAGTGGTTTGTTTTGCCAGTCGTAATTAACTAGCTGTAAAGTATATTTCTCGAAAATTCAAATTCAAATTAACAGCAAGAAACGAAACCCCCTCCTGTTCAATGACAGAAGGTAAGATCGGCTAAATGCAACGCTATGCCGACGGCAGCTTGACGCCAGGTTCCGAGGCGACATGGGAGAGCCCCAGGGACCATTTGAAATTTGGAGACGGTGATTGGCTGTTTGCGGCCGGATACCCCAGACGTTAAACTCTTTCCAGTTCTTCGCCTCTGGATGCTTGGTCCCTGCTGCCCATCGACTGGCACAGCTTGTTCCACTTGGTTGGTACGGAGGTACCTTTCAGCTGCAAAAAGGGCGTCCAAGGATACCGAGTCTCTACTTACTTCTGTGACCTTGGCTCGCTGATTCCTGCAAGTACCGTTTGAGTACAACGCTCTGCCATCGGTTTCTCTCGGCTATCATCCATTGGCAAAACCATGGCCCGAGCTCAGAGAAAGAGAGAGAGACTCACCAGCATGTTATCCACCCCTCGTTCGCGTTACGCATTCGAGTACCGCCGACGACAGCGGGGAGCTCTCGCTGGGAACCACCCGAGGCCCTGGCTTTAAAGTGTCCGCCACTTTTTCTTCACGCTCTCCCATCTAAAGCTCTTGCCACCATCCCTCCAATTGACCAACTACAAAGTGCCGAACGGCAGAGGAGAGCAAGACGAATTGCGCCTGCGTCGCTAGCTTCACCATTTCCGCATCCAAACACCTTGACGCTTCCTTATGCAGTAGTCCGGTCCTCAAAGAGGACGAGATCTATTTACCCAACGACACGCCGTCAAACGACCGTCTTCACCGTCAATATGAACACTTCGGCCTCGCCTCTCGCAAGAAATCTGCAGCGGAGCACGCGCAGTCTCTCAAGATGCCGCCTCCGCCCTACAAGGCCCGCGCAGGCCGGCCTCGCCACCGCCTCCAGAACAAGCACCACAACCCCTGCGAGAGCTGCCGCGACTACGTCACCCTCGGCACGGAGCTCCTCCGCCGTCGCCTTCTCCAGGCCGCTGGGTGCGCGCACATTCACGACGAGCAGGACGCGGCGCAGCGACGAGGACGAAAAGTTCGACCCGGCGACCATTGAGCGAGAGTCGGACGAGGTCGATGTAGTCATTGTAGGCGGCGGTACGGAGTGTCCCCTCTCCTCTGCTTCTTGATGTAGGTTTCCAAGTCGAAGCTGACAATCTTCTCACGCAGGCCCCGCCGGACTCAGCGCCGCGATCCGGCTAAAGCAGCTCGCCAACGAAGCCGGCAACGAAGACTTCCGTGTCCTCCTTCTCGAAAAGGCCGGCGAGATGGGCGCCCACATCCTCTCGGGCGCCGTCATCCAGCCCACCGCCATTGACGAGCTGATCCCCGACTGGCTCTCCGAGGACAACCCGGACCGTTTCGAGTACGCTACTCCGGCTGGCGGCGACCGCATGCGCTTCCTCACGAAGACGTCGGCGATCCCGCTCCCGACCCCGCCGCAAATGCACAACGAGGGCAACTACATCGTCTCGTTGAACCAGTTCGCCAAGTGGCTCGGTGACCGCGCCGAGGAGCTCGGCGTCGAGGTGTACCCGGGCTTCGCCGCCTCCGAGGTACTTTACAACGAGGTGGATGGCAGCGTCAAGGGTGTCGCGACGAACGACCTCGGCCTCGGTCGCGACGGTAAGCCCAAGGACTCGTTCGAGCGCGGCATGGCGTTCCACGCACGCTGCACGCTTTTTGCCGAAGGGTGCCACGGCAGCCTGAGCAAGCAGGTTATCAAGAAGTTCGACCTGCGCCGCGACAGCCAGCACCAGACGTATGCGCTCGGTATTAAGGAGGTGTGGGAGGTGCAGCCCGAAAAGTTCCAAAAGGGCTCCATCACGCACTCCATGGGCTACCCGCTCTCCAAGGACCTATACGGCGGCGGCTGGATGTACCATTTTGGCGACAACCTCGTCAGCATCGGCTTGGTCGTTGCCCTCGACTACGAGAACCCGTGGGTCTCGCCCTACGGCGAGTTCCAGAAGATGAAGCACCACCCCATGTACAAGGAGGTCCTCGAGGGCGGCAAGTGCCTGACGTACGGTGCGCGAGCGCTCATCGAGGGAGGCTTCCAGTCGATCCCAAAGTGCGCCTTCCCTGGCGGCGCGCTCATCGGTGACTCGGCTGGCTTCGTCAACCTGCCCAAGATTAAGGGCACGCACAACGCCATGAAGTCGGGCATGCTCGCCGCCGAGGCCGCCTTCACGGCGCTGTCGTCCGAGAGCACCGGGGAGCAGGGCACCGTGTTCCTGTATGACTACGAGGACAAGCTCCGGGAGTCGCCCATCTGGAAGGAGCTGAAGGAGGTGCGCAACTTCCGCCCCTCGTTCCACACCCCGCTGGGCCTGTACGGCGGCATCGCCTACTCCGGGCTCGAGGCGTACGTACTCAAGGGCCGCGTCCCTTGGACGCTGAAGCACAAGACGCCGGACCACGCGGCCACGAAGCCCGCCGACCAGTACCCCAAGATCGAGTACGAAAAGCCCGACGGAAAGATCTCGTTCGACATCCTCACGAGCGTCAGCCGTACGGGCACAAACCACGAGGAGGACCAGCCGGTGCACCTTCAAGTCAAGGACTGGGAGAAGCATGCGGCCGAGACATGGCCCAAGTTCAAGGGCCTCGAGAACCGCTTCTGCCCGGCGGGCGTTTACGAGTACGTCGAGGACGACACCAAGGACCTCGGTGTGCGGTTCCAGATCAACGCACAGAAGTGAGTAGTAACCCCCAGCCGGCCCATGTATCAGGACCGCTTGGCGACGAGTAGCGCATACAAATTGTCGGGCAGTTTCCACTAACCCGCAACACAGCTGTATCCACTGCAAGACGTGCGACATCAAGGCGCCGCACCAGGACATCAACTGGCAGGTGCCCCAGGGCGGCGAGGGTCCCAAGTACTATATGTCATGAGAGCCGGGTCTCTCTTTATCTCACACCCCTCCGGCAAAGTACCTGGCCTCAGCCGAAATCAACATGAGAGGAGGATGACCGAGTAAAGGGGATGATGGGGTCGGCAATATAAAGGGGAGAAGGGATCATCCATCCTCCTGTATCCGTAATCTGTTTGCAATCAGCGCCGAGGGGAGGCGGTTTGGTCGCCAGACTAACGAAACAGAAGAACGGACCACTGGCCCCACGGAAGATTTATACGATATGCCAAGAGGAGGGAGAGTATTGTAGGTATAGAACGCGTCAAGACAAGTCGATGACAAGGAAGAATTTGTATGCTCGGAACACACAGAGCACCCTCCGCTAAACCAATGTCCCAACGTTTGCCAAACTTTCCTTTCTCCGGGGTAGGCACGTGGGCGCGCGTACGGGAAAGGGAGGGAGGGGTCCACAGTAGCAGGGAAAAAAAACCAACTAAAAAAAACCACTCCAAAATCACAAATTGCTGTATGATTTATATGAAAGGAAAGGCAGTCCGTGGTGGCCTTTCGGCAAGGCGAAAGTGTATGTGCAACTAAAACGTGCTGGCTAGCCCCCGGAGAATTTGGCAATGAATACTCCGTACATACATACATACATACCCCTTACGATCTAGGGCAGCAATGACGACACAGCATCCATCGACGGCATATCAGATGAAAAAGGCCTCGACACCTCGGCCCCCCCACCCGCTGGGTGTCGCCGCGGCACTGAGACACTGCGAAGCCTTTTTGCGCGTTTGATCTAATACCGTACCTATAGCATGTACAAGTATGCGGCGGCCAAGAGCATCCCTTCATGACCCTTCCCGATCGGAAGCAGGCCCCGACTGGGGAGGAACGGGGGAGGAGGAAGGGGGGGACGACATCGGAGACACGAGTGTGCGATTGCGAGACACATGTAGGGTTTGGACTCCATGCGTTGGGCGAGGCTGGAACGCGACACCATGGCAAGATGGAAAGAATGCGAGCCAGGTCATGTGTTGGTTACCCCGGCCACCCGTGGCTGGCGGCAGATCAGACGCGTGCCAGCCAGCCAGCCAGATCGACTCGCGCAACTGCTTAGGTTAGGTTTTTTCTTTTTCTCTTTCTCCTTGTTCACTTCGTCAGGCTTGCGACGGATGCAGCTGCCCAATGCCCATGGCGCGGCGGAGTGTGGGCGGCAAGGTTTGAGTGTCGCAATTGTTGGAGGGAGTAAGACAAAGAAATTGATGTGACTCTGAAGTTGAAGCCAAGTGCATGTCGCGAGGTGTGCAAGGACGAGCAACTCCGACGAGGCTGGCGGGCTCCCATGTTTGAAATTGCATGAGTCGCAACCAAGATGGAGTCATGACATGCCCGCAAGGCCGAGGTGCGGCCTTCAAACCGAACGTGGGAAGCGACAAGCAAGCAAGCAACCACTAGGTTTCTTGCTTGCGAGCCAGGCAGGCTTGTTTGGCTTGCTTGCTTGCTTGGCCTCAGGTTAGCCCTCACATGCATGAGTCGCGCTGGCAAAAGCCGAAACCCTGGGGAAGTACCTCGACTTCGGGAAGGATCCAGAGGTACTTGGTCGTGCACGGATCACTTCTCCGGCCTCACGGGGGGGCCTGGTATCCGATACCTGCCCGTAAGATTGCAGTTAAAATTTGCATCTGCAAACGAGCTGCAGGCGCCCTTTCTGCCATCAAGGCGAAGCAACACCAAAGCGTCGTCGGGCTGAGGTCAAAACCAAACGGAACATGAATGAGCACGACGAGCTCGAGAGCTATCGTGATTTCGTATTGCAAGACCAACAGACTTACTTACAGCATAGCGTCATTTCGGGTGTCAGATGGCCATGGGCACTGGGTGGATGCCGGCAGAGTTTTCTCAGTCGAGAGTTCGGGGCTCCATAGGTTTGCCTGCTACACATGGAACGCGGTGTGGCGAGGCTCACGTACTGGGTACTGGGTAGGCCTCTCTGGTGGGAGGGAGGAGGGAGGGGGGGGAGGCGAGCGAGGAGCGACAAAACACGCACCACCTGCCCAGCCTTTTTCTATGCTTTTTCGATTGGCCCCCCCTGCCATGGCTGGCACTGGCCGATTGGAACCGGCCTAGAGTCAATGACTCACAGGTCGGAAGCCGTCTGGTCGCTGTGACGGCCCATAAAATTCCTGCCAGAAAGCCGTCAATGCCCGAAAGCAGCGTAGACGCCGTGAGAAAAATGTGCCGCTTTCGCGCTGTGGTGCTGCTGTCGAGGGGTCATGACCAGCTCTTTTTGTTGATTGTTTGTTCCGTCTCTACGCCGTGTTATGATGCGTCGTGTCGCGTTGTGTCATGTTGATTCGTCCGTCCGGGCGGGCTTCCTACAACGTGGTCTGGTGACCATTCTGACATATTTGACGGCAAGGCCGTGAAGCTGATCTGCTGCCGCTGCCGCAGCTCTGCACTGACAGACCTTCTGTCGGTGCTGATCGTCAATGAGGCAGCAAGATAGGGGGGTAGATTCAGCGTTTCAGACGGCTAGCGTGTGCCTAGAGGGTTAGGGAGGAAGGTTGGGAAAAAAATAATGAGCATGCTGATGGACAAACGCGTACTACATTACAAATGACGTTCTACAAGGCACGCAGGACGAGGCTCTTGCGCGCCTCCCTTCACGCTCCATGGCTCTGACTGTGAACCGTCCACGTGCAACTGTACCTTCCGAAAAAGCGCGTCACAGGAGTTATACATACATCATCCCTTGCTACAAATCGGATCAACACTAAACTGGCCCTGATACAAACGGCCAGGCGTAGTCTGTCTATTGTGGAGGATCTCGTTAACTCTGGTCCAACTTTTGGTAAAACTCAGAAGCATAGCTTGAATTTTGCCGGCGGTCTTTTTCATCAGGACCACATCTGGAAAGGGCTCAGATTATACCTCGACAAACAGTAGAGAGTTATCATCCGCGTATCAACCAGCTGCCGAGATCATTCGAGACATGTAGTGTTAAGGGAAGGCCTCAGGGGAGAACGTGAGAAGAAATGATAGAGGGGAACTCTTCCCCTCTTCCTGGGAGGCCGTTACTCGGGGCTTGAGAACCCATTTAGCCTTAGACCCAATGCGCATTATACAACATCGAGCAGTATACTAACGGGGCCGACTCGACCCTGTAGCTGCTTAATGGCAATGGTTCACGCTTACTATATCCTAGTTACAACTGTTGATTGCGGCTCGGCCTTATCTGCATCCGAACGCCCTGACTTGCGATCTTCATTCTGGCCGCGAGTGGCGTCCGGTGCCCCGCACGTAAACTGTTATCGATGCCAAAGCCTGTAGCGGCGGGCACCCAGTCGCGTCGTTACGGAGCCATGTCAAGGCTGAGTGAGCCAACACTTGGATGTGCAGGGATCTTAGCAAGCCTGGGGGGGGGGGAAACCCTTTGGTTGCTGGGAGGATGCAAAAATCGTTAGGAAAAGGAAACGAGGAGGAGGGGCCAGCAAAAGAAAGGGGGTGAGAGTGAGGGTGGGATGGAGGGGATCGGGTCGGTGCCAGTCCAGACCAACCAACACTACTCCGTACACTATCCGTAGAATGGCTAGAAACTGTGGGTGCGGTGCAGCTGCCAAACGGACTCGAGTGACGCGGCAGGCTGGACGAGAGAAAAGCCGGAAGTCGGGCTGCATCTGGCGTGGGAGGGAAGAGAAAGAGGCAGAAACGACCAGAATGGTGGAATGGGTCGGCATTGTGCGTGGGTAGTAGCGTAGCGCTGGGCGTAGCGGCACCCATACGAGGTACACTAGAGCCGCCTGTGGGATTTGCATTTGGTTGGCGCTGGGTTGGTGTCGACAAGGTCCACGGCCGATTGCCTGGCTGGATGATGGTGATGGACAACGAAGAGTGGATTGATTGGCAGGGCACACCTGAGCCCGTCACCGTGCCCTAGAGCGAACAAAGACGCGCCATATGATTGGGTTGCGAGGCCAACCCGTCGTCACTCTCCTGTCAGATTTCGCTGGTTTCGCCAGGGTGACGGCAGGGTCGCTCGCTGTGCCGCGACGCGTCGTGTGCATGTGGCGAAAAGTGGCAGAGAACCGCTTGACGACGCATGGGTGAGAGAGGAACAGAGAGCGTAGACTGTAGGTCGAGGGCCAAAAAGATTGCCGTCGGAATGGACGAACAGAGCCAGCCTGTGTTGTTGATGGTTTGACAGAACGACGAGGAATAATTGTAGGTAGGGTGGCGGCCATCAGGGATGAGCCAGGCAAAGGTAAGCGAGTCGAGTCACAGTTGGGGGGAAAGGGCAAATATTGGAGATCGCAAAGCGAAGCGAAAAGCGAAGAAGGACGCGAGAACACGAGAATGAAAAAAGAAAGGGAAAAAAAAAAAAACCACTAAGCAGGGAGCAGCCTGGAAGGGGGACGATGGTGGGTGATGATGACATAGACCCATCAGAGAGCATCTCGGTGGTAGGAACCAGGTCGACGTCGGAAAGAGAAGTGGCGCAAGGAGGCGTGGCAGGAAAAAGAGCCACTGGCCTGTTGGCCACAAGCCCAGAGGAGGTAAGGAGACGGACGGCCAGCACTGGCCAGCCAGAGTGCACTGTCGCGAAAAAGAAAGCAGGAAAAAGAAGAAAAAAGGAAAAAGAGACGTAGAAATCCCATGGATTTCGCGATCAAGTAGATGGACCTGGGACGCGGTGCCGAGGTACTTCAGGGGCTGGGTGGTTGCAACAGGGGGACATGGGACCAGGAAGGAGATATAATGAGAGGAATGCCACATTTTGATTGGATGCATTCTCTTAGCGCGACCGCTAAGCACAGGCAATGTCAGGCAGGACCAACAGCCACGGCGCACTGGCTGCCTGGGGCCCCTGGGGGGTGTGCCAGGGGGGAGGGGTCATGGTTGGGGCGAGTGCGCAAGCGGGCGATGGCCAAAATTATAAAGAGGCAGGCCTCCCTCCAACCCGCATGTTTCGAAATTCTTGCGCGGAAGCTCCGACCGACGGCCTTACGTAGTCATCCACTCACGTTCGGCCTTTCT